CCCCAAAACCCCAAAACCCCAAAACCCCAAAACCCCAAAACCCCAAAACCCCGACTAAATAGAAATTAATTGAAATTATGACCTACCCCTGAAGCAAAAGTCAATCTGAAAGCTAAAGATACCCTATCCAAATTACTTAGTGTGAAGAGCTGTTTTTACTAGTTAAAGAATCTGTACAATCTTTGGATCAGATCTGGTAAAGCGAGTTGGTCCCTGAGACTACAAAAGAGATGTTCTGTTGGAAAGGGCTAGAGAGCTTTGTTGTCAAGGAAGATGATACTCCTTCTTTATCTATTTCTTTTTGATTTGAAAATGCATTATGCTCATAATACAGCTTTGGCATTCAAACTCTAAAAATGTTAACAGAAATTTACCGATTGTTGAACTTATCTTCATTATCCATCCAGAAGGTTGATCTATTAGTATGGGCGATCATTTCGTCATCCTTCTCCACAATCTCAATCTCGATGACTGACCTGTAGGACAATGATTCACTACCAATCTCGCCTCCAAGAAGGATGAAAGTATTTCCTTCAGTCGTATAATTAGGTCTAAATGACAAGCTTGAGCAAAGGAGCATCTCTGAATTCTTCTCCATCTTGATCAGCTCCCATGTCTTTTCATCTGCAGAGAGATTCATTCTCTCGATTGATTGGACAAGTATATTCTTAGTAGAGCTGAACCCGCCAAAAATATACAGATAGTTTTCCCGCTCGCATAGGTATGAGGAGTGGGTGTCTCTAGCCTCATTCATTGATTTTATATCTGTCACCTTTTGAGTTGAAGTATTGAAGACATATCATTCCGCAGTTGACTGGACTGATGACCCTCCTGTTACATAAATGCTGTTCTTGTTGTCATAGGCTGCCGAAGCATACCGGAGGCAGCCTTTCTTGAATTCAAGTTGTTCCCAGCAGTAGCTTGAAAAATATGTCTTATGCTTATCTGTGTTTAAGTAAAAATGCTGGTTTCAGGGCTTTCCTGCATGGAGAATATACATCCCAGGGTTGACACCTTTAGCCAGGATCACAATAGTAGACTTCGGTAGGACTTCAAACTTAGTCTCAATTTCCTTCTCCTCGCCATAAAAGGTCTTATGATCTTCAAAGTACTTGATATTGAGGGAGATCAAATTCCTATAAAATTGGAGGGAAAAGATTACTTATCTTGGCCTATAGAGATCATGTCACTGTTCTTGATTTCACTGCAGGTCTTGATGTCTCCCCTCGAAATAGTAGGGATTTCATCAACGATGTGGGATCACTTGTCAAATTCCTTATTCTTTCTCTTCTTGTAGATGTCCTTTTCACGATTTTCCTGCAAGATAAAGCTAAGTTCAGAGTCGTTAAGAGGGTCAGCTTGCTCAAATCAGTCTTTCAAGTCTTCATTAAGTCTCTTCCTTTTGCCTTCAGATTTCTTTAGAGGGTGCTTTTCCTTACTAATAACTAAGGAGATTTCAGAGTCTTTGCAGCTAGGAAGATTCCCTCCATTTTCATCAGATAATTGCTGAGACTTGCTATAATCATGAAATAGCGGGACTTACTCTCCAAGTTCGATTTCCTTCTCTTCCTCTCTCGATGCCAAATCGTCGCTTTGGCTCTCGTCCAGCTCAATAGGGTCAGACTTGCTCTTCCCAGCGACTTTAATAGGTGAAGAACTTTGTATTTGAGTTGAATGAAGCACTGAAGTATCCTTAATTTTCCCAAATGTGACTCGAGGACACTTCGGAGGCATACTATCCTGGGCTGCACTCTCAGTAAGACTTGGAGCACCAAAATACCTCTCAAACTGATCAAGCTCCTTTCTGATATTATTCACTTTGCTTAGGGCTAACTCGGACGCTAAAATTTTAGTATGAATCAAAATCTTTAGCGGGAAATTCTTGGTAAAACCAAGAAAAAAACTTACTCATAATAGGAACCTCTGAAGTTTTGCTGTTCTGCTCCGTACTTTTCTACAGAAGTTTAATGGGTTACTTACCTTGGTCTCTGTGTCTACTACTTCTGCTTTATTTTATCCTCGCTGGCAGTAAAATCTATAGTGTCAGGCTTAACCTTTTACAATGATTTCGTGATCTAGGTGTGGTTCAAAAAGATCATCCTTAATTATGTAGTTAGTATTAGCATTCCCTTCTTTATGTCCCTTAATAGTGCAATTAAGGCATACAAATAACTTTTTGTTGGTCTTGCTCTTCTTCATAGAGTAATTTATCATTTTAAATATTTATATAAGCCTCTTTTTATATCCCGATTCAATCAAAGATTTTTTGTCCGGGGTTTTGGGGTTTTGGGGTTTTGGGG